GATTTATACTGGCACCAATCCCTAAGCCAGTTTGGAAACTGTATAACTCTCCTTATCCAATAGGCGTGCGAAGATTAAGATATCCGAACAATCGAGATCGGAACTAGGAATAAGCTTCTTGCTTTTACTTTCACTTTCAGTATCCCCCTTTGCGTTTTAGTGGCGTTATCACCCTGTTTTCTGTAAATTGATTAAACACACACACACATATATATATATATATATATATATATATATATATATATATATATATATATCACATCCGGTTTTGGCATATCAGAGCTTCTTTTCAATGTAATTTTATACAGACAATATGCATAAAGCATTTAAGCCATCCTCAATCATGACAGACAGAAATGTGTTCTTTATAAAGGATAGCTTTGAGAAATTCTTTTCTGCTTCACAGCCCATGATAGGCATTAATAAGCACAGTTTAATGTCTTAGGAAACACTTCCATAACAATTTATTCAAAAGTAAGCTGAAGAACTGTCTAGCATTTCAGATTATAATTATTTCATATTTCTTATGCGGGCTGAAATTTCCGAAGATGTTAAGCATTGTTTGAACTGAAAACGGTCGATTGATTATCAGTGACTAATATCATTTTATTAATTCAATATATAAGTTTAAATTTGATCTCGGTTCGTCAATTCAATTTAATGGGTGACGCAATGGATATCGGCTCGGACAGAGAAATTGAAAAGCTGAGTTCGATTTCCAGTTGATTCGTTGCATAAAATTTCGCACAATTACACTTGCGAAACATATAGAGCCATATCTTCTTCTTTTAGCAATGGGTTGAAGAATTGAGTAGACTGTGCGCTTTTATCGATAAAAGTTTTCTAGCTCTGTTGATCATATCAAGGGATAACGTCACATGGTCATATTTAATACTGCTCAATTATTGCCCACTCAGTTTCCAATGAGTCTGTTCTTGTTCTTCTGACCATCTCTACGGACATCAAGTCTTGTTCTTATTTAATACTGCTCACTTATTGCAAACACTGTTTCCACTAGGATTGTTCTTGCTCCGCAAACCACGTCTAGGAATAACTTGTCTTCAGCTTATTTAATACTGCTCACTTATTGCACACTCTGTTCCACTTATATTATTCATGTTCCGCTGAATATGTCTAGAGAAGGGAGATGACTTCCCTCTGTAGGATCAGGTTGTGATCATAGACAAGGAACACCATTGAAAAATTCGTAAACTTAAGAAATCAGCACATATGCTAGGCCACAAAAATCTCCTGAGCCGACCTAGCATAGAAATAAATACAATATGGGAACCAGTAATAAGGAGTGCCAGAGAAAACCGATAATAACAACAAAGTTGCAATATGAGCTCTGGTAAAAACATGAAATGATAACAGCAAAATTGCAATATGAGCACTGGTAAAAATGATTGCTGAAGACATTAGGTTTATAATACCCAGATGTCCTCAAGGCGTTAGTTAGATCCAATGTCAGGACCCAAAGAGTGTGAGTTCAATACCCGGTTAAGGCAGTGGAGAACTTTCAGAGGGAAAATTAACAGGAGATAACTGATAACTGACATCAATTAAACATGGAACGTGGAACTAGAACAGTCTACCCCAGTGAGCGAAATAAATGATTCAGTTCGAGATTCCAACCACCTGAAGAAGGCCGGAACGTACAACGGCCGAAACGTTGTAATAAATATGGCAACAAAGATGAGGACAATAGTCCGAATAATGTAAATAATGTACATAATACCTCATCTCAAAAATATAGACAGATACTGAAAGGCCGAAACCTTGTAATAAATATGGCGACAAAGATGAGGACAATAGTCCGAATAATGTAAATAATGTACATAATACCTCATCTCAGAAATATAGACAGATAATGTCTACAGATATCTTGCCTTGCTTTTATTTAATACTGCTCATTATTGCATACCCTGTTTCCACTGAGTTTTATCTGTTGAACATGTCTAGGAATATTCCGTCATGTATTTATTTAATACTTATCACTTATTGCCCACCCTGTTTCCACTGAGATTGTTCTTGTTACGCTAACCATGTCTGGGGATATCTTATCTTGTTCTAATTTAATACTGCTCGCTTATTGCTGATATAATGGAATATGCGTACACCTGTGTTCCCCGTCACTGGAATATGATTGGCTCATCATCATAAATACCGACGGACGTGTAGGTACGATAGAGTCTGAGAGCTAAGTCTATATCGACGCCCATTGGACTACGCCATTGATCTACGCTTCTTACCTGCGACTACGATGAGTACCAGTCGATTACTGCTGCCATATTCTACTTGGTTATAGTAGCCAAAACCACTTAGCTACTTCGTTCAAATATATCCCTTTCCGGGACATATCAATTGCAAACACTGTTTCCAGTACTTTTTTCTTGCACCTTTTGTTTCCGTTGAGTTTTTGTCTGCACTACCCATCCATGCGGATTAAGCATTACCCATGATTGTTTTTTATATATTAAATCTGTTTTTAATCGTATTCCATCATAAAGTTCGATTCCGGTTTGCCTTGGATTTTTCCTCTAGATTTCTTCGATATCCATAATATATTAGAAATCAAGATATAACATTTCTTTCTCGGTCATCTCTCGGATAGCGTCTTAGTATTACATTCTCACAGTATTGTCTTTGGTCAACTCGTCTAAAACATTTTATTAGCAACCCCATCCTACTCTGAAACACTTATATTATTTTTGCCAGACTAAGTTAATTTTTTATGTTGTTTTTTCATACATACAGGGTGTCTCAAAATAATGTATACACTATTTAAATATTAATAGCTAATAATACATTAGCGTGATGTGAGAACTTATATGGATGAAAATATGCCAAACAGATGGATTGGAAGAAGAGGGACAGTTGAATAGCCACCTAGATCAACAGATTTGACACCCTTGGACTTTTTTGTGGGGGTTTCTTAAAGACAAAGTTTACAGCAGGAAACCTGAAACAATTGTTGAAATGAGAGTAGAAGAAGGTTTTCAAATACCAGGGGAAATGATACTGGACGTTTGTAGGTCTATTTCTTCAAGATATGAAAAGTGTATTGAACAGAACGGCAACCAGTTTGAGAACTTGATGTGAACTCATCATTATATGAACATTCTGCCATTGCCCCAAGTGGCTTTTATCTTATTAGAGTTAATTTTCTCTGTTTTTTGTATATTTTACTCTCAAATTCTTTAAATGTGTATTCTTTCTCTTGTATTAATATTGTTTATAAGTCAATATACATAAATTGAATAAGTTATAATGTTTCAAAGAGTGTATACATTGTTTTGGGACACCCTGTATTTTTCTTGTTTCTCACGGACACATACATATATACATACCTGATGTAATGGAATAACCAGTCACCCAATGAATGATTACACTATAGGTAGTAAGTACCTATAAAGTCAACTGTCTACGAGAGATTGCAGGGAAGAATGAGAGCAAGACGACGCAAGCCCGTCCGACCTTCCAATTAGTGGGACTGACTACTAAATTGACCTGTGTGTATAACTGTACTGTATTACATATTGTACTGGTTGTGTACAATAAACCTTTCTTCTAGTATCCACCTGGTGTTAAGTATTTATTCCCTTAGCACTGAATATAACAATACCCAAATGCAGACATGTACACTGAAACATGCTAACATCGACATGTACACGGACATGGACTTTTTTTGGCGTTTCACCTCAAAAAAGTCGATAAAGCCAATAAGATTCAGTGGCATGGCAATAGACTGAAGGAAACTGCGACAAAGGACAATTAAAAGAACAGGATTCACTGAGAGAGGATATAACGATTGGTTTTGGATTTGTCATAAAGTGACAAATAAGCTTTCATTTGTTATTAAGTAATAAACTGTGAATTACTAAATGCGAGAATGAAAATGACCAAGAAACCCTTCCAAAAACAATAGTCTTGTTTTATAAGATTTTGGGAATGAGTCCGGCTGAGAACTTCCTAGCATCTCCTCATAGTAGATATATGCACATACTGGGCATAAAATTGGGGTTCATTTTTCTATTGTTATTAAATAATAAACGGATCCCCCGTGAATTACTACATGCGAGAATGAAAATGACCAAGAAACCCTTCCAAAAACAATTGTCGTGTTTTATAAGATTTTGGGAATGAGTCCGGCTGAGAACTTCCTAGCATCTCCTCATAGTAGATATATGCTCATACTGGGCATAAAATGGGGGTTCATTTTTCCATTGTTATTAAGTAATAAAATGATCCCCGATTCGAATTACTACATATGGGATCATGCTGACCAAGAAACCCTTTCAAAACCAATTCTCATGTTTGATCAGTTGGTAAGATTTGGGGAAATGGGTCGGGATAAAGAACTTTTCAGCACGAGATTTTAGTTGTTTTATTTGCACACTGAATATCAAATGGGGGATAAGTTTTCTATTGTTACTTAGTAATAAACTGATCCCCCATGAATTAATACATATGGAAGTGTATATTTGTACACTTTGTGTAAGGGCATGCCGTGTGTGTGCGCGTGAGTATGGGTTGGTGGATGCGTGAACGTGAGTGTTAGCGCGTGTCCCATGCGTATAGATACGTGTATGAGTGTATGTTGCAGGGGTCGGGGTGGGGAGTGACGTTTTGTGAGTATGCGTTTCACTTTCTAAGTTTGTGTGTGCGTGTTCTGTGCATATGAGTCTATGTTGTGTGTTGAGTATTGGTGTGGATGTACCTATGTGTGTGAATTTGTGAGTATGTACAAGCCTGTTAGTTTGTTGTTTGTGGAGTGTGTGTGCTTGTGTGCATGTGTGTCTGTGTGTGTGGGTCCATTTTGTTATAACCGTTCCAAACTAATGCGCGAGGGATTTTTTTTATTATATAATCGAAATGTTTCTTTAGATCTTTGTGGCGGATCTCCAATATAAACCGAATTACGCATTTTTTGTGTCATTGCGCAAGGCAAATAAATAGATTGGCCCTATTTTGGACAGTTAAACAAAATAGAAGCTAGTTTAAAGAATGGAATGTAAATAAAATAGATAGATAATAAACAGGATGAAATAGATAGATAGATAGATAGATAGATAGATAGATAGATAGATAGATAGATAGATAAAAAAAAGAAAAGAAAGAAAGAAAAGAAAGGAAGGAAGATACTGACTTAGATTCCTACAAATATATTTAATTATTAAGTGATTATATATATATATATATATATATATATATATATATATATATATATATATATATATATATTTTATTTTAACGGCAGGCCAGTACTTGTTAAGTTATTTAATATCAATTTTCATGGGCCACATTGTGAGGATCAAACTCAATACACAGCGGTAATGATTAGCTTAACTAGCCTCCTTAACTATTAACATACGTTGAGGATTTATACGAAGATGTGAACTGATTGTGAAAGATCAAAGTAGATAGATACAGAGACTGAGATAGATAGATAGATAGATAGATAGATAGATAGATAGATAGATAGATAGATAGGAACAGGCTGAGATAGATAGATAGATAGATAGATATAGATAGATAGATAGATAGATAGATAGATAGATAGATAGATAGATAGATAGAACAGGACTGTGATAGATAGATAGATAGATAGATAGATAGATAGATAGATACGAACAGGCTGTGAGATAGATAGATAGATAGATAGATAGATAGATAGATAGATAGATAGATACTCGAAGAGTATAGGGTGGATATTTTTATTATTCGCTTGAAAGAAATTAAGTAAAACCAGACAGCAATATAAACATAAAAGAAAGCTAGGAACGAACGAACAAACAAACATACACAAGAACACATTCAAATGAATACATATATGTTACCTATCTGTATGCATAAATACATTTATACAAAGTAAACCAAAACAATCAAATCGTTTGATTTCACGGTTCATAGATGGAAATTTGAGGCCACATAAAGTCGTGATTAGTTGGAATAGATAAGAAATGAGAGCCGCCATTGTAGCGTGATGAGTGACTGTGAAAGTGAAAGTGAAAGTGAAAGTGAAAGTAGACTCAGAATATAGAAGGAGAAAACGTTAAAATTTGAACTAAGGAGAGTAGAAAGCAATCAACTAATAACAGAAAAAAGGATGAAGATAAACAGTGAGTAAGACAACGAAACGGAGAAAGAAGTGGGGAGAGAGACAGGCTGGCAGATAGACAGATAAAGAACAATAACATGCGTAGGACGGACAGTAGGAAATAACCATCAAATCTGATAGGAAAAAAGAAGGAAGATAAAAATATAAAAAGAAATGAGTGAGAGGAGGAAATGACAAGAGTGAGAGGATTGGAAGTAATTAAGGGGAAAATGGCACTACCGTATATACTCGTGTATAAGTCGATTTCTTGTATAGCGCGACCCCTGATTTTTTTTTACATGAATTTTAACCTGTGCAACCGGTCAAAAAAAATGCATGATTTTTTAAACTCTTAAAAAAAAAAAATTGTGTATTTTCCTACCACCTATTTTTTGATTTAAGAAAAACTGATCCTAAAAATTCGCCTTATAGATACAGTATATCGAGGAAGATAATGATAGAGAGAGAAACGAATGATGAGTCTGAGAAGCACGAGGGAGAAAGCGAGAGAGAAAAAGGGGATATGTATAAACAAATAAAGGGGGGGGGTAAATCAGAGTCCAAGTGAGAGAGGAAATGTGTGAGAAATGCTAATTAATTAACAGGGTAATGAGAAAGTGAGAGTAAGCAATAAATTTAGAGAGAGGTAAACTGGGGGTAAAACCAAGGGAGATAATTTGGAATAAAATATGAAGAGAAATTGAGAGGAAAAGAGAACTGATAAAAAGGAAAAAAGGGGACAAAACAAGGAAAAGGGGGACAAAACAAAGAAAAAGGGGGACAAAACAAGCGATAGAAAGAAGGAATGTAGCTGGGAAGAGAGACAGGAAGCGAATGAGAGAGATAAAAAAAATGAAAGAAAGAATGAGAAAGAAAGGAATGAAAAACACTAATTAAATAAAAAGATGATGTTTTATGTCAAAACCTCTATGGGTTATTTAATACCGAAATCTAACTCTTTTGTATGGCATTTTATTTTATTTTTTGACATATTAATAATTTAGTGATACTAGTTTTACTAATTAACCCGTAACTTATAATTATGACCCCATATGAAATACTGAAGATGTTGCGGTGGGGGGCCTAAAATTTAATGCCTCAGTTATTTTCCTTCAACACAACTCTCCAAGTTTTGATTCACGATTTCTGTGGCCTGGTGGAACTAGAACAATCTACAAAATAAAGGGTTCTGTTCGAAATTCCAATCGTCTGAAGAAGGCCGGAGCGTACAACGGCCGAAATGTTGTGAATACGGCAATGAAAATGAGGATAACAGTCCGAATAATGTAAATAATGCAAGTAATCATAATACCTCATCTCAGAGATATAGAGGCCGAAACGTTGTGAATATGACAACGAAAATGGAGATAACAGTACGGATAATGTAATGCTCAATGGAGCAATGGATAGCGGCTCGGAGAGCCGAGTTCCAATTCCAGTCGAATCCATTACATTTACTCACGTGCTAATAACCTTAGGAAATATATGAATCCTCTTCTTCTCTCTCCAGCTATGAGTAAATAGCAGGACATACCATACATTCTATAGCCTTGGATGGCTACTGGTCTACCGCAGAAAGAAATGGGAAAAATTATGTGTAAGACGTTTCGGCCTCTCGATGGACTTCGTCAGACTAAAGTGATGTTTTTGTTGAGGGATTATATAAGTGTACTGACCAGGATCAACGTTGCTTAACTTACGTGATCGTACGGGAACCGGTGTTTCAGCGTAATGTGACCATAAGCCTGAAATGATAAAGAAGAAAGAAGGGGGGGAGATTAAAAAAAACAAATGAGCGGGAAACAGAAGATGAGGGTGAGAGAGAGTTTAAATGAAAAAAAAGGAGGTTTGTTTTGAAAAGAGAGTGTATAGGAGAGAGAGGGAGAGAGAACAGACGAGAGTGGCATGTGAGCAAATTGGCATGAAAGATGATAGAATGGGAGATGCTGATTGGTCAGTGAGTGGGTGTGGCGCTAAATGAAAGAGCCATTCTTGCTTCTTGTCGAACGTAAACTTCTGAGTCTGCATGCGAGGGGAAGTCAACATTTTGTGCAAGGAAAAAACAAAGATGGTCAAAGGGAACAGCTACTGAATGTCGTATATAGATTGAGTAATGACTTCGATCCTCACTGGGTACCCCACACTTTCGGCCTTGTGCCACATCTAAGCTACGCTTACTAAATATTTATGTTATCGGGGAACTTCGACATGGCACGTGATAAATGCACCAATGCGAAAACATATACGTCACTTCCTGTAGTCATCCAATCGCTGATCCACTCACATAGGCCATTTATATATATATATATATATATATATATATATATATATATATATATATATATATTATGATTTTTATAGAGAATTTCGTGAAATTTCTTACAGAAATGTAATACAAACATCGGAGGCTTGGCAATTTTCGACAGCATTAGATTCGCCAATGGCCAGCAAGCATTCGGCAAGCTCTGAGGCAAGTTATCGGAAGATGTGTCTGAGACAGAAAAACAAGTTCTCTTCTTTGTTTAGGAATTAAATCGTAAGACAAGACTGCGCAATTTAGCCTTGGTTGGCAACCAAACTAGGAGAACGACAAATCTGAATCGAAAACAACACGAGGAGCGTTTGAAGACCTTGTAGCACACTAGGAACACCAGTTCTCTGAATTCAAATTCCCGAAAATTATGGATGGTTTTGCACAAGACTATACCAATTCTATTCAATTAGCAATTATATTCCATTTCTTATAGTAGGATAACAAAATTAATCCTTGAAAATGGTTAACAGTTTAGCCGAAAATACTCCGAACCGATAAACATTTGGACAAATTAACATTTATTAAAAGAAAGGCAACGACATGTTTTCTCACCGGAATTATTGAACCGATACAGTGAGGCGATTTCGAGAGAACTAGAAGTCCTGTCAGGATTTATTATTCGCAGCCACAATTTCAATTAAATATGATATGCAGATGACACAGTTATTGAGGCAATTCGGAGAGCATTAGAAGTCCTACCAAGATTCATTATTGGCAACCAATCTTAACATAAGATATGCAGGTGACAGTGTTGATAGCAAACACAGAACGGAAACTATAAGAACTCCTACAGGAAAACGAGAAGAAAGGACAAATCATCTTTGCAAGATGACAGAATGCATAGTTGTTAGCAAAAGGAACAGCTTATCATGCAAATTACAAATTGGAGATACCAAAATCAAACAAATACAACAATTTAAATATCTAGAAAAGCGTTTTAATTGAGATTGGAAAGTGTGACACTGAAATCCGAAGACACATTGAGATAGTGAAAAATGCCTTCCAAATGCTAAGCAAAGTATTAAGAAACAAAAAAAATTCGTTAGAACAAAAAGACTACTGGACTGTTCTGAATGCTGAACAATCTCACCGATGAAAAGAGACTATACATAAATACATACACACACATATATATATATATATATATATATATATATATATATATATATATATATATATATATATAGTTAGTGTGTGTGTGACTGAAAACTGTAATAACTATAATTTTTACAAGACGAGAGTCCATCATGCATAAAACAAAAAGTTACTTTTCAAACAACCTGTACACATATATATGTATGTATGTAAATAAGAAAAACAAGATGAAAAACAATTATGCCAACGCGTTTCGTTCCATGATGAACTTTATAAAGGAAGTGTAAAAGGTTTATTTAGTAACCCTTTATAGCGTAACATCAAAGAAAAGTACATCAAGTTTTCAAATATTCAATGAGATTGATCTATAAAATCTTCTAAAAACTTACTGTGTATAGGTAAGGTAAATGAAACAAACACACACAAACATATATATATATATATATATATAAATATATATATATATACTGGAGGATGTCTGTGTACGTGCGTGTGCGTGCGCGTGTGCGTGCGCGTGTGAGAACACATTATTCTTATTTATACGTTTGGATGTACTAGCAGGCGTTTATGGCTGCCGATTTTCACTAATTCCACAAGACGCACCAATTTATTTCCCGCCATCGCGACGTAATGGCGGGAATCAATGTGGCGGAAAACGGTACATTTTATAATACATACATATATATATATATATATATATATATATATATATATATATATATATATATATATATATATATATATAATTTAATGGCGGGTAATGCTCCATGAGCCGCTTCACAATAAAATCAAATTGGTTGTAGCTCAAAATAATCTCATTTTGATCGAAATGAAAATGTAAGTTTCTACACGCTAAATAGTAATGGCCGTAATCAAAGAGAAATTAAGTGATTGGAGTTAGTTTATGTGACATAGGCATTCTCTTAATGTCAGTGTCGCTATATATATATATATATATATATTAATATATATATGCACATACATGCGTCTGTTTCCCTTGACATATATATATATATATATATATATATATATATATATATAATGTTTGAGCATATACATACATGACTCTAAAAGTATCTTTGTAGCTATAAACATCAATATATATATATATATATATATATATATATATATATATATATATATATATATATATATATATACCGTACTTCGCTGCTAAAGTACAAGGAAAAATCTTTTCTTAGCATTCCCTACTACCCCAGGTTTACCCACTGAATAGAATATTTTAGCATGAATTAGTTTATGTGACAAAGACATTGTCTTAATGTCAGTATCGCTGTCTATCTATCTATCTATCAATCTATCCATATATATATATATATATATATATATTTCCAACCTCTATTAAAACGCTTTTCTAGATATTTAAATTGTATTTGTTTGATTTTGGTATCTCCAATTTGTAATTTGCATTTTGGTGTGTCCCTTTTGCTAATAACCATGCATTCTGTCTTCTTGCAATTGATGTTTAGTCCTTTCTTCTCGCTTTCCTTAATTACCTTCTGTAGGAGTTCTTATAGTTTTCGTTCTGTGTTTGCTATCAACACTGTCACCTGCATATCTTATGTTAAGATTAGTTGCCAATAATGAATCTTGCTAGAACTTCTAATGCTCTCCGAATTGCCTCAATAACTGTCATCTGCATATCATATTTAATTGAAATTGTGGCTGCGAATAATAAATCCTGACAGGACTTCTAGTTCTCTCGAAATCGCCTCACTGTATCGGTTCAATAATTCCGATGCGAAAACATGTCGTTGCCTTTCTTTTAATAAATGTTAATTTGTCCAAATGTCTATCGGTTCGGAGTATTTTCGGCTAAACTGTTAACCATTTTCAAGGATTATTTTTGTTATCCTACTATAAGAAATGGAATATAATTGCTATTTTAGACAGTAGAAAAGTTTCCGAAAGTAGATATATTTTTTAATTTCCAAAGACTTTGGGTTGTTCAAAAATTGTGTTTCCTGAACAACCAAAGTAACCGTGCATATGATTGGATAGAATTGGTATAGTCTTGTGCAAAACCATCCAGAACTTTCGGAAAACTGAATTTGGAGAACTGATGTTCCTAGCGTGCAACAAGTTCCTCAAACGATCCACCTGTTGTTTCGAATTCAGAGTTGTTTTTCTCCTAGACTAGTTGCCAACCAAGGCTAAAGTGCTCAATCTTGATATTTGTTTTACTATTTAATTAATAAATAGAGCAGAGTAACAAAATTTGTTTTGCTGTCTCACAGTTTGCCGTATGCTCTCTGACAATGGTGAATTTAGTGTTGCCGAAAACTATTAAGCCTACGATATTTCTATTACATTTCTGTAATAATATAAGAATTCTTTTTGTTATACTACTACAATAAATGGAGGATAGATAGATAGAGAGAGAGATAGATGTAAACAGGCTGAGATAGATAGATAGATAGATAGATAGATAGATAGATAGATAGATAGATAGATAGATAGATAGATGTAAACAGGCTGAGATAGATAGATAGATAGATAGATAGATAGATAGATAGATAGATAGATAGATAGATAGATGTGAATAGACATTGTGTGGAGTGAGTGGTTGTACGTGTATGTGAATTTCTCTCTCTCTCTCTCTCTCTCTCTCTCTCTCTCTCCCTTACCCGTATCCTACAAACACAAACCCACGCACCCCTCAACCATCGCGTTACAATTCTACATAGAGAAGTGAGATGGGAGGACTCCTCGCGTTTTTCACGCTGATACTCTTTCCATCTGCCGATAGGCAATTCTTATGACAGCCACAATTTCTATAAAAGAAATTGGGATCGAAACGAAAGATTTTCAAAAAAAAAAATCTATACCTTTCTCTCCATCTGTCTATCTGTCTGTCTCTTTCTCTTTCTCTTTGTCTTTCTCGTTTCCCTACCCCTACACACAACCACACATCCCTCACCCATCGCACAGAGAAACGAGAAGAAGGGGTGTGTCTGGAAAAATGAAAATGACAAGGCTGCGAGAAGAGGGATAGATTTGAACGAGGTGTGGGCTCGGCGTTCAACTTGCTTCTGTAAGAGATCTTTATCACTGTCTAGCTAATGCCTCTCGATTAAATATCGAATCTCGCTTCAAAGGCGACGCAGCCTGACAGCGTGCAGTATAATGCAATAGAGTGCTATACAATGTAATGGAACGCAATAAAAATTAATATAACACAGTGTAATGTAATATAAAAGCAAGTGATCTCACCCCCAGTGCATCAAACCTTCACTGCTATGGCAAGTGACCGAACAAAGATTGCCGTTCAACTCAACTTCTTTTCCTCGTCATTTTTAACTTGTTTGTTTTTATGGGTTTTTTTTCTTCAGATATTTTGTACTTTTTCGAGTGCTTTTCATTAATTCCTTTAGCTTCATTATTTTCTTTCTTTCTTCATAACTCTGGTCCGAATTTTCTTCCTTTCTTTTCTTCTTTCTTCCGATTTTCCTTCTTTTTCTTATTCTTTCCTTTCTTCCTTCTTTTCGTTCCTCCTCTCCTCTTACATTCCTTCCTTACTTCCTCCCCTTCTTCCATTTTTATTTTCTTTCTTTTTTTTTCTTTTATTTCTTCCCTTTGTTCTTTCATCTTTCTTTCCTGTCGTCCTTCGTTCTTTCTTTCAACCTCTTCTTCCTTTCTCACTTTTCTATTCGTTCATTTTTTTTTTTCCTCTTCTATCTTCCTACTGTCTTCTCTCTTCACTTTTTCCTTTCCGTTCTTCTTTTCTTCCTATCTTTCTTTCATTTCTTCCTTCATTCATTCTTTCCTTCTGTTTTTCTCCCCCCCCCTTTTTCTTCCTTCGCTGATATATTCGGTTTCAGTTTTTCGTCTTTCTTTTTCGTTTCCTGTTCATTCCATATTTTTCATTCTTTTTTAAATTTTATCTTTCATCTTTGTTTTCATCCTTACTTTTGCGATGTTTCTTTCCTAGTTTCTGTCTCGGCTTACGACCATATCACGTTGAAACACCAGTTCCCGTACGATTACCGTCGAGCCTGGTCAATACGTAGATGGCTGAACGCTTGGGAATACCAGATACTATAAGCTTCGATGTGTGGGTGATGTAATGGTATTATTATTTTCATCCACCCCCCCCAACACACATGCACACAAAAAAATTCTAACAATCTGAAGATATTTTCTGGCTTTAAATAACCTGCAATAGGTCAACAAGCCGTAAAAAACGAATCGATCAATTCTTTCTATCTCGCTGGATTTTCCCTTCCATCTTTCTTTCTTCCTTTCTTTTCTTTCGCATTTACTATCTTCTTTCTTTCTTATTTACTGTTTTCCTTCTTTCTTTCTTTTTTACTTTCTTATTTACTGTATTCCTTCTTTCTTCTTTCGTTTTTCTTTCATAAATACTGTATCCCTTCTTTCTTCTTTCTTTCTTTCTTTCTTTCTTTCTTTCTTTCTTTCTTTCTTTCTTCGTTTCTTTCTTATTGACTGTCTTCATTCTTTTTCTTTCTTTCTTTTTTCCTTTCTTATTTGCTGTGTTCCAATGTTTTTCCTCTTTCTTCCTTTCTTTCTTTCTTCTTTCCTTTCCTATTTACTGTCTTCATTCTTTCTTCTTTCTTTCTTTTCTTCTTTCTTTCATTCTTTCTTCTTTTCTTTATTTACTGTATTCCTTCTTTCCTCTCCCTTTCTTTCTTTCTTCCTTCTTTTCTTTCTTATTTAATGTCTTCTTTCTTTCTTCTTCCTTTCTTTCATTCTTTCTTTCTTCTTTTCTTTCTTATATACTGTATTCCCTTTCCCCACTTTCTTTTTTTCTTTCTTATTTGCTATATTTCTTCTTTCTTTTTTCTTTCTTTCTTTCTTTCTTTCTTTTTTCGTTCTTACTTCTTTTTTATTTAGTGTATCTTTTCTTTCCTCTCTCTCTTTCTTTCTTTCTTCCTTCTTTTCTTTCTTCTTTTATGTCTTCCTTCCTTCTTTCTTTCTTGTATACCGTCTTCCGATTTTGCTCTTTCTTTCTTAGACCTTCTTTCCCTAGATCCCTAAAGTCGTTCTCCTAACTTCGTTTCCATTTTAATTTCCGTCTCTCATAAAGTCACTCTCTCTTTAATTCTCTTTCTATCTATCTATCTATCTATCTATCTATCTATCTATCTATCTATCTATCTATCACAGTCTCTTCAGTATCTATTTATCTATCCTAGTCTCTTCAATATCTATCTATCTATCTATCTATCTATCTATCTATCTATATCGTTTGAATTTTTCTTCCTAATTAACTTCCCGCATACTTTCTTTTTTCTTCCTTTTTCTTTTTTCATCTTTTCTCCTTTCTTTTTTCTTTCTTTTTTCTTCCTTTTTCTTTTTTCATCTTTTTTCCTTTTTTCTTCTTTCTTCTTTCTTTTCTCCTTTCTTTTTTCTTTCTTTTTTTCTTCCTTTTTCATCTTTTTTTCCTTTTTTCTTCTTGCTTCTTTCTTTTCTCCTTTCTTTTTTCTTTCTTTTTTTCTTCCTTTTTCTTTTTTCATCTTTTTTCTTCTTTTTTTTCCTTTTTTTCTTCTTTCTTCTTTCTTTTCTCCTTTCTTTTATTCTCTCTTTTTCTTCTTCTTAGTATCTTTTTTTCTTTCTGGAATTTCTTAACTTTTTCTTTCAATCGCTTCGTTTCAGTTCCTCCATATTTTTTTTTATTTTCGCTTTTCTTCGGGGGTGAGGGAGTTTATTAGCTCCTCCCCTAAACTCTCTCCTTTATTTGTTCTATATTTACTCATTATTTTTTAAGAAAGGAGTTTCCTTGTTCCTTGCCAAAACTATTTCTTTCTTTTCGTCTTTCTTTTAATATTATACTTTATGAGAGGGAGTAGATTCTTAGCCCCTCCCCCAAATTCTGTTTTTCGCTTAACATCATGTTTAAATTAGGGGGAGGGTCTTCTTAGCTCCTCCCCAAAACTTTTTCCTTCTTTCTTTTAATATTACGTTTTATTAGGAGGAGGGGCTTTTTAGCTCCTCCCCCAAATTCTTTCTTTCTTTTAACATGATGTTTTGTTTGGGGAAGAGGGGGTCCTCTTAACTCCTACCCAAACCCAATTTATTCTTTTCTTTTTCTTTAATGTTTTTCTTCATTCTGATGCAATCTTATCGATTTACTCTTTTTCTTTCCCTCTTTTATTCTTTCTATTTTTTTAATTTCTTTTATTTTCCTTCTTTTCTTCTTTCTTTAGAGATTATGTTTTTGGTAACGGAGAGTTTCTTAGCTCCTTCCCAACCCCCTTCCTTCTCTTATTTTTCTTCATTTTTTTTTTCTTCATTCTGATCTAATTTTATCCATGTAATCTCTTTCTTTTCCTCCTTTATTCATTCTATCTTTCTATCTTTTATTTCCCTATCTTGACCTCCATTTCTTCTTTTTTTCTTTCCTTTGCGTTGTCTGCTTTCGTGTTTATTAATGAACTAGCAGGAGAGCCCGGCGTTGCCCGGGGATGTAACAGTAAGCGATAGATCAAGTATCGACCATCATAAAGACTGAAAAATAAAATTGACAAAGATTATTGTTTAAGGTTGACGGACACGCATGTCTTAATTAGTTTTTGGTTTTGTTTTTTGTTTTTTTTTACGAAACTCAAACAAAAACATTGTTTTCAATCGTTATGAGTCTATCGATTGAATAGAATTTTATTATAAACAATTGTCTTGTAAATGGAATTTTTAAAGCATTCTGAATGTAAAAATAAAGAAAAAAAAGTGTGCAAGACAATAAGAAACACTATCTGCCCCAAAAAAATGAAGTTTTGTTGAAATCGGTTGAAAAATGTAGGAAATCCGATCCCATATATAAACGAACACACACACACATACACACAAACAACCTGGGTTTTATAAGTATAACTCGATATGAGTTGTCCCCCTTTCATTAATGTCTCTTAATCGTGTTTTCAAATTGATTTCGTGCAAAAACAATTGTTTTTCCAATTTTTGGCGCTGTCAGAACCACCGCAAGGTAATTTTACGTAGTCCCGTGACGTTTTGTTGAAATCGGTTGAAAAATGTAGGAAATCCGATCCAATATATAAACGTACAGACACACACACACACACACACACACAATCTGCGTTTTATAATAAGTAAGATTCTTACTACTTTTATTTCTTGATTTCTTTTTTTTTTTTTTTTTGCCCAATCTTTTCATTCCTTGATCTCATGTTTTTAAATTCATTCCTTGTTCAGTTGTTTTCTTCGTTTTTGCATCTTCTATTTTGTTTATCTTTCCCTCTGTATTCTTCTTCGACACAAAAACACAAATGTGGGTATCCAGTGCGGATCTATTTCACTTTAAACGTACTTGTCAACTACTACTCCATTTTGAATTGTCCACAATTTTTCCTTTTTTTTTTTTTTTTTTTTTGCATTATTTACATTATTTGGACTGTTATCCTCATCTTCATTGTCATATTCACAAAGTTTCGATCTTCTTCAGGTGAGTGGAATTTCGAACCGAAGCCTTTATTTCGTCCACCAGGTAGATTGTTCTATTTCCACGCGCCATTACTCTTCCGGATGTCTCAGTTATTTCCCTTAAACTCAACACTCCAAGTTTTGGTTCACCACTGCTGTGGCCTGGTACAGCGGCCGAAACGTTGGGAATTGACTAAGATAGATAGATAGATAGATAGGAAGTGACCGTGATAGGTGGGAATAAACTAAGATAGATAGATAGATAGATAGATAGATAGATAGATAGATAGATAGATAGATAGGAAGTGACCGTGATGGGTGGGAATAAACTAAGATAGATAGATAGATACGGGAACGTGGTGTTTATTATGTACAAGTCTAACTCCATTAATATTGCACTTTCCGACTCCAGGCAGAAATACTGACGGGTAATTGGCCATAGTTAAGTGTAATTGGCAGAAATGCTCAACAAACAGAATTGACAAAGTTTACAATAAATAATAACAAACAGAAAGAAAGAAACAGGACAAAAATAATACCCAGCAAACAACAAAAGTAGGCAAAGCAACAGTAGTGAGGCCAAAAAAAAGTACAGAGAGTAGAGAATGGTGTTAACACACAAATTGGATACAGACAATCGATCGCAGCCTTCTGACTTCAAGACAAAAAAGAAGAGAAATATGGCGGACGAGACCGAGAAATGTCCTATCTTATTGGCTACGAAGAAATCCCAGCGTGTTTTGTCTACATATTTGGAGAAGGGGATGTTTTTGCAAATATTCCTATCCAGATTAAAACCAAAAAATACCTGTACCTAGAATCCATAATACAATCATACCATATATACTAGCGTCCTGGGTAAGACGATAAACTACATCCGCGCCCTGGGTATGACGATAAACTTCATCCGCGTCCTGGGTAAGACGATAAACTTCATCCGCGTCCTGAGTATGGTGATAAAATACATCCACGTCTTGCGTATGGCGATTAACTATATCCACGTCCGGGGTATGGCGATAAAATACATCCACTTCCTGGGTATGGCGATAAACTATATCCACGTCCTTGGTATGGCGATAAACTACATCCACGTCATGGGTATGGCGATGAACGGCACCCACGTCCTGGGTATGATGATAAAATACATCCACGTCCTGGGTATGGCGATAAACTACATCCACGTTCTGGGTATGGCGATAAACTACATCCACCTCCTAGGTATGACGATAAACTACATCCACGTCCTGGGTATGACGATAAACTGCATCCACGTCCTGGATAAGACGATAAACTGCACCGCGTCCTTGGTATGACGATAAACTACATCCACGTCCTGGGTATGACGATAAACTACATCCACGTCCTGGGTATGACGATAAACTCCATCCACGTCCTGGGTATGGCGATAAACTACATCCATTTCCTGGGTATGACGATAAACTACATCCACGTACTGGGTATGACGATAAACTACATCCACGTCCTGGGTATGTCGATAAACTACATCCACGTCCTGGGTATTGCGATAGTTTCATCCATGTTATTGGTATGGCGATAAACTACATCCACGTCCTGGGTATGACGATAAAATACATCCACGTCCTGGGTATGACGATAAACAACATCCACGTCCTGGGCATGATGATAGACTACATCCACGTCATGGGTATGACGATAAACTACATCCACGTCCTGGGTATGGTGATAAAATACATCCACGTCTTGGGTATGGCGATAAACTACATCCACGTCCTTGGTATGGTGATAAAATACATCCGCGTCCTTGGTATGACAATAAACTACATCCACGTTCTTGGTATGGCGATAAACTATATCCACGTCCTGGGTATGACGATAAACTACATCCACGTCGTGCGTATGGCGATAAACTACATCCACGTCTTGGGTATGGCGATAAACTGCATCCACATCCTGGGTATGACGATAAACAACATCTACGTCCTGGGTATGACGATAAACTACATCCACGTCCTGGGTATGACGATAGGCTACATCCACGTACTGAGTATGACGATAAACTACATCCGCTTCCTGGGTATGGTGATAAACTACATCCACATCTTGGGTATGGCGATAAACTACATCCACGTCCTTGGTATGGTGATAAACTACATCCACGTCCTGGGTATGACGATAAACTACATCCACGTCCTGGGTATGGCGATAAACTACATCCACGTCCTGGGTATGTCGATAAACTACATCCACGTCCTGGGTATGGCGATAAACTATATCCACGTCCTTGGTATGACGATAAACTAAATCCACATCCTGCGTATGGCGATGAACTACATCCACGTCCTGGGTATGATGATAAACTACATCCGCGTCCTCGGTATGACAATAAACTACATCCACGTCCTTGGTATGGCGATAAACTACATCCACGTTCTTGGTATGGCGATAAACTACATCCACATCCTGGGTATGACGATAAACTATATCCGCGTCCTGGGTATGGCGTGAAACTACATCCACGTCTTGGGTATGGCGATAAACTGCATCCACATCCTGGGTATGACGATAAACTACATCCACCTCCTGGGTATGACGATAAACTACATCCACGCCCTGGGTATGACGATAAACTACATCCACGTCTTGAGTATGGCAATAAACTACATTCACGTCCTTGGTATGGCGATAAACTACATCCACGTCCTGGGTATGACGATAAACTACATCCACGTCCTGGGTATGGCGATAAACTACATTCACGTCCAGGGTAAGACGATGAACTACATCCGCGTCCTGGGTATGTCGATAACCTACATCCACGTCCTGGGTATGACGATAAACTACATCCACCTCTGCGTATGACGATAAACGACATCCGCGTCCTGGGTATGACGATAAACTGCATCCGCGTCCTGGATATGACGATAAACTACATCCACCTCCTGCGTATGACGATAAACTACATCCACGTCCTGGGTATGACGATAAACTGCATCCGCGTTCTGGGTATGACGATAAACTACATCCACGTCCTGGGTAAGCCGATGAACTACATCCGCGTCCTGGATATGGCGTTCCTGATGACGATAAACTGCGTATGACATAAACACGTCCTGGTATGACGAGAAACCATCCACGTCCTGGGTATGGCGATAAACTACATTCACGTCCTGGGTAAGCCGATGAACTACATCCGCGTCCTGGGTATGGCGATAACCTACATCCACGTCCTGGGTATGACGATAAACTACATCCACCTCCTGCGTATGACGATAAACGACATCCACGTCCTGGTATGACGATAAACCACATCCACGTCCTGGGTATGCTAAGGATACATCCACGTCCTGGGTATGACGATAAACTACATCCACGTCCTGGGTATGACGATTAACTACATCCACGTCCTGGGTATGACGATAAACTACATCCACGTCAATAAACTTGGTATGGCATCCACGTCCTTAGTATGGCGATAAACTACATCCACGTCCTAAACTGGTATGGCGATAAACCGACATCCACGTCCTGGGTATGGCGATAAACCACATCCACGTCCTTGGTATGGCGATAAACTACATCCACGTACTGGGTATGACGATAAACTACATCCACGTCCTGGATATGACGATAAACTACATCCACGTCCTGGGCATGACGATAGACTACATCCACGTCCTGGGTATGGTGATAAACTACATCCACGTCTCCGGTATGGCGATAAACTACATCCACGTCCTTGGTATGGTGATAAACTACATCCACGTCCTGGGTATGACGATAAACTACATCCACGTCCTGGGTATGGCGATGAACTACATCCACGTCCTGAGTATGGCGATAAATTACATCCATGTCTTGGGTATGGCAATAAACTATATCCACGTCCTGGGTATGACGATAAACTACATCCACGTCCTGGGTATGGCGATAAACTACATCCACGTCCTTGGTATGGCGATAAACTACATCCACGTCCTGGGTATGACGATAAACTACATCCGCGTCCTGGGTATGACGATAAACTACATCCACGTCCTTGGTATGGCGATAAACTACATCCACGTTCTTGGTATGGCGATGAACTACATCCACGTCCTTGGTATGACGATAAACTACATCCGCGTCTTGGGTATGGCGATAAACTACATCCACGTCTTGGGTATGGCGATAAACTGCATCCACATCCTGGGTATGACGATAAACTGCATCCACGTCCTGGGTAAGACGATGACCTACATCTGCGTCCTTGGTATGACGATAGACAAAATCCACATAAACAAGAAGGATGTCGAGCACCTGGATAAGAACAACTTGTTCGACGAGCAGTATGGGTTTCGATCAGCCCGATCCACCGCTGAATTCCTAACTACCATTACACACAGAATTATTGACGACACACATACCACTAGCATTAGATATCTCGAAGGCCTTCAACAAGTTGTGGCAAAAAGGTAGATAGATCCCTGAAGGTAATTATTAATGTCCAATTCTCCTAGGGCCTAGTGGTCAGCGCAGGTGTCCCCCAGGGCTCACTTTTCGGACCAGCTCTCTCTCTCTCTGATTTCCTTAAATGATCTACCTAAGAATATACTTCGATCATTTGTAAGAGTCTGTGCCGATGATACAACGATATACGGGCGCACCTGTCACAATCTTGATAGTCAGAAATTGGCAACTGATCTCTTATCTGATCTAGATCTAACTCTTCAGTTGTGGAATAACTTGTTGGTTTCATTCAATACTTCGAAAACCAAATTAGTTTCATTCCATCATCACTGATCGAACCCTGAACTCTCACCAATCAGTTTTTCTCCTTTTGTATTTTAAGTCTTCCTTTATTTAACTTTTTTTTAAGTTTTTTCTTTCCTTTTACTTTTAATTTCTTTTTATCCTTTTTTGTTTTTTTAATTATGACACATTTCCAGCGGAAATTTCCGTAACTGGATTCCGCTTTTTATCCTAATTACTATAACTCACAGAATTAGTGAGTTTCTTGAAAGCAAATACGCCTCAAAAAGCATATCATTAGATATTAAAAAGGCATTTGACAATGTGCAACACAAAGGTTTGCTATTCAATCTCTCCAGCTATAGAATCGCTGGAAGAGTCATCTCAATTATAAAGTCCTTTCTGACGGGTAGGTACGTCCCTGGCGGTTGTCGTTAACGTCTAGTCCTCTAGAAATCAATGCAGGTGTCTCCTACAAGTCACTTTTCGGACAACATTCTTTTTACTTTACGTTAATGATCTGCCTAAGAGTATACTCAGATCATTTGTGAATATCTATGCCGATGATACGACAATATAGCGGTGCACCTGTCAAATTCTTGATGATCAGAAATTGGCAACTGATCTCTCATCTGATCTAGATCTAATTCCTCAGTTGTGGAATAACA